AGGAGGAAAACAGGGTCCCTATAAACAAAGTTATAGACAATAAATGTTAATATGTACTGTACTAATTTTCCAAATTTAAACAACTTTACACTTACCAGAGTAAGCCTGCTGCAAAATGTACTGAGAGAGATCTGAGAAGCAGAGAAATGAAACTGCAAGTAACTAAACTTAGAAAGGAAAAATACTCAACAAAAAGAATGCGAACAACACCCAAAACTATTGTAATAAAAAAAGTGCACAAAGTTTTGATGAATTTGCCTTTGCATTATACATGACTCAGATATCGTAAAATATGTCTTCACAACAATATTTAAAATGTAATATCTAAAATATATACAGAAATAAAATAGGTAGACATATGTCAATAGTATCTGTGCATAGAAGTGCTTAAGAATTAAATACACTCACAAAAGGTATACGTGTAGCAGGCTCCTCACTCAACAAAGGTATGAACTTCTCCTTGATTTTGGACCTCCTTCACAGTAAGCAGGAGTCATAGAAATAAGAAATGGACAAAATAGTGCAATTATAAAACAGACTTACACTATATCATCCCAAGATGGTGGAGAGGAACTTTGTAGCTAATTTAGATGAAAGGCACACAGGAACCAGAAGGGAAATATCTCATCCGAATACAGCAATAAACAAAACACAGCAAAACCAAAAATCAAATAACTAAACAAACATAAAATGTATTAGTTCATAGAAAACATGCCCTACATGTTTCGTATAACTCCGTGGGTTGCTGGAGAAGAATGATTTTGAAGCAGGGTGACTAGATTCACCATGTTTTCTGGGACACATTTCACATATATATATTTATGGGCAGCATATAAAAAGGATAGCCCTGTAATATTTAGAATGCAGAAGAATGTGTATTAGATTAAACAATTAGGCAATGAAGAATCCTGCAGTATATGCATTTAACATACTACAGGGCAACCGTTTTCATGCATTTTCATAAATATGACAAAATTATATGTGTCAAGGTAAACATGGTGGATCTGGTCACCCTGTTTAACCCCTTAAGACCGCAGGGCGTTCTATGCTGTCCTTAAGGGACATGCTCTAAACGCCGCACAGCGGCATAGAATGCCCTGGGCGGTCTTGCTGCCCACGTGGCCGGTGGTATTACCCCGCTGCAGATCGTGGTCGGGGACAAGCCCCCCTGTGCCTAGTGACTACGGTCTGCAGCCTCCGATCGCAGTGACAGGCTGTCACTGCGATCGGAATTTACCATTTTAAAATCAACTGACACATGGAGCCGTGGCATTTTACGACTGCAGATCGGTCAGTGACCGTGATCTGCAGAGTCTGATCGCAGTGACAGGCTGTCACTGCGATCAGAGTTACTATGTGTCAGACAGGATCCCCCTGCAGATCGCGGTGGGGGGCATGCCTGGCCACCCAGGCACCCCCCTTGTGGCCAGTTACTGCGATCTGCAGGAGGTGATCACAGTGACAGCCAGTCACTGTGATCACTGATCCTGTGTGTCAGCCAGTGATGGCTGACACTATCTCTGCCCCTCTCCTGTTAAAAATAAAATAAATTACAGTTACAAATAAAATATACTTAGATTATATATATATATATATATATATATACACACATACACACACACACACACACAAAAAAATGTCAATACGTAAAAAAAAAATTAAAAACACACACACACACACATACATATATATATATATATATATATATATATGTAGTAAGGCCGTTTGGCCTGTATTTGTGGGAGGGGCTTAAGTTAACTTACTCCCCTATATAAGCTACACCTCTTACCTAACTCCTTACCGATCAAGGTCAGCGTCTGAATGCACTTCCGGTTCATCCAGTCGCCATTTTGGAATACTTCCGTCTTCTCACAAGGTCTTCCACGCTGAAACTGTGTCCAGGAACCCAGCAGCAGGTTTCCGTCCGACCAGCTTCTAAACTTCTTATTCGTCGACGCAGATTACATCCTAGGCACTCGCATACCGTAAGTTTACCTACTCGTTCCGCCTGGCAACAGTCCCATGGCATCGGTAACGGGCTAGGTACACACTTTACGGGCACGTTTCGGTTAAACTAACAAATCACTTTCCCGGCTTTTTCTTTATCAATATGTATCGGGCTTACAGTACTCGTTCCGGTTATACAACTCGTAATTAGGATATAACACCGTACACACAAGAATTTATGTGTTCCATGGGTAAGCACATACAGCTACCCTCATTCATACATAACTCATGTTGCCCGACAGGCATTAGCAGTCAACCGTACAGCCAGTTATCACTTTCGCACTAATAGTTAAATACAACAAATAACTTAGGGTCACATAACTGTTATATATTTCCCATACCTCTGTGAGAAATGTATGTCACATGCTGCCGTCACTCATCACACACTCTTATCGGCTGAAACATTATCCTCGCCGAAAAAACTACATTCCCCATAGTTCCTCCATATGACGCCCAATCACATCCCCCTTTCATCTCATTCCATCGCACGCCGGCAGGCGCAGTTACGGGCGCCAACAACATTTCCAATGGGGATTAACTCCAGTCACGCCGGTCACGTGATTTCCAATTTTCCCATTACGTAATCCTCATTTTAATTATGTATCCATATCACCATGTTCATATTTGCCACTCAATTAAGTTACTTTGATTATATTCCAATTATTATGTCACGTTACGTTTTCCTCCACATGTGATCTGATCACTAATCAAAATCACTTCCACACATTTGTTGCATTACGTTACTAAATAAATTTCGGATGTCCAAACCTACACTGCCACCTACAGGTCGTGCCACATAATAGCATAAGGGTTTTCTATATACACTGATCCCTACAGGTCATATAAATAATTCAAGTATCACTTATATTATTTATTACATACTAATCCTGACACTAAGGCCATTCTCTGTTACATACGTCAGGAAAAACAATTTCTTAAAACGCACCACAACGGGCTACATGGCACGATTAGTCATTGTTAGTCATTGTGTATTAGGTCAACTGCACTATGAATGTTACATGGTTTGCCCAACTTTTCAGTTTTGATTATTGGGTTGCGAGCACTATGATTGTTTATGCGTATAAACTTAGATCATGATCAAATCACTTTTTATGAACATATGGCATACATACATCATATTACAGGGCTGTACAAACAATGACGCTACAAATTACCAAATGATAAAATACGAACACATATTTAGGTATAAATAGCAGTTAAAATTACCACATAATATAGTTACAGTTGAACTCTCGGATACCCTACGAACATCAACCCCACTGATCTCTCCAGGGCGAACAGATAAACATTAATAAGAATGATTCATGCATTTTATTTTATTTTCATACGGTTTCCATCTATTTAGTTACAGGTATCTACTGCCACCTAAACGGATTGTCTAAAAAATTCTTTACTTATACTTTCAGGTACGTACACCTGCTCACTGTATATCCAAATATGATCCCCATATAATAGATAAGTACTGGCAGATAGGGTCATAGGGGCCAATAGCTGTTATATCTCCTTCTCTGCATTATGCTTCGGATTAGCGGTCCCGAGAGGCCAACAAACCCGCCTCATACTCGGAGGCATACACCCCTCGAGCCACTCGTGAGCTAATCGCCTCGCAAGTTTCATAGAGAGGGCCTCACCAGTCACTCCCTTTCCTTTTTCTTTGTAATCTCACCGAGAGGCCATCATCCTGCCACTACGATCGGTGGCCACAAAAATTCCATTGCGCCAACGCATAGATAGGGCCTCTCAAGCCACTTGGCACTAGCAGGGCCTCACCAGTCACAAACTTAAGCATAATCGTTTCGCCTTACGGCATAGCTAGCAAGCCAGTACTAAAACACCGGGTTCAAATAATAATTTTACCTTTTATTTTAGTTAAACAGGTCTCATGCAAGTGGTGAGGAGCTATCGCTTCCTAGTACCCCAGCTAGGGGCGAGACACCTTCTCACAGGGGAGATATGGCCAGTCCAGCGTCAATCAGATCCTGGACAATACCGCGCATTACAACAGAGTTAAGGAGACGTCAAATTCCCTACCTGGCTACAGCAAGGAAAGCGGACTTATTTAAACTCCTAAACACGACAACAAACAATACGGAAGCAGGAGAAGGCCCCAGCACCACCAATTCGGGGGACATCCAGGCTATGCTGGCCTCACTTATGAACTCCATGGGCAAGGTCAACGACAGACTGGCTAACCTTTTCTTTTTTTTTTTCCCTCTTTCCTCCCTCCTCTATGTCCCCTCGCCCCGTCTCCCGCCCCTTTTGTTCATATTTCACAGCCTCCAGGGGGTGGTGGGATGGTCGTCTGCCCAGTGTCTTCCCGTCATCAGTGTGTCGTCTGAGTGAGGCAATTGTGATTGTATGTAGTGTATGGACCTCTTTGGGAGCATGTTGTCTATACATGTCGTCCTTTTGGCGTGGGGGGGAGGGCCCGGTAAGTAACACAGTGAGATTGCATAGTCTAGCCATTCAAAATAGGTTACTCACAATAGTCATACAATAAAGAGTAGTCTCGAAAGTCAATGCTGCAGGAGGTCTCTAGGACCCGATCTCTATGTCCCCAACCCTCCCCCCTGTGATCCCCCTCCCCAATAGGACTTACTCCCCTGCTGTATTTTTCTTCCCGCCCCTCCCTTTTGGTCCCCTTGTTTTTTTTTTTGGTTTTTTTTTGTTGTTGTTTAGAACCCTTTCGTGTTGTGGAGGACCCATTTGCAAGTGAGATATCCCTTAGTTCGGTCAGTATCAAGGTGAAGAGTGGTACCCTCCCGTGCCAGGGGGGGTGGGGGGGTGTCCCCTCTGTTAGTCTCGTGCCAATGTGTTAGCTACCCAATGTCAGAGTACCTGATTCTTGGGGTGCGGGTTTGCCTCCAGGTGCTTCTCCAACGTGGGTGCCAGCTGTCTGTGTTGTCTCGGAATAGTGGGGTCTACGGGAGCGGTGCCGGTTGGTCCGGTAGTGGGTTATTCCTCTGGGTTGTTTAGATCTGGTCGGTGTTGCGGAGCTTCACCCTGAGAGTTCCATCTTCTTCGCCTTGCTTGTCGCTGCGGTTGTGGTCTTGGATCCAGCGGCATGAATAACCAGTTCGGAACTGGGGTTGGCGGCAGGTTCAGGCGTTGTAGGAATTGAGGAATGTCTTCTGGCCATCGTGCGGAGACCCATTCGTTATTATAGCGAACTGTGATGCTAAATGGGTAACCCCATCTATATTGCATATTCTTCTCCCTCAGGATGGTGGTAACCGGTCTCAGGGCTCTTCTAGCCTCCAGGGTCCTAGGTGATAGGTCATTGTAGAGGGATATTTCTGCGCCCCTGTAGTTCCAGTGGGCCCTGGATCTAGCTTTCCTCATGATCAGATCTTTGATGGCGAAGGAGTGCAGGCAGCATATTATTTCCCTGGGGGTTCCTTCCGTGGGCCTGGGACGGAGTGCTCTATGTGCCCTGTCATATTTAATAAGCGCTGGTGTGTCCTCCCTTAGGATGATGCGGAATAGGGAGGTGAGCATCTCCTCTATGTTTTCCCCCTCTGGAGATTCAGGTATCCCCCTTACCCTGATATTGTTGCGACGACTGCGGTTGTCCTGGTCCTCTAGCTGTCGCCTCATGGCCAGTATGAGGGTGCCCTGGCGTTTGAGGGCCGTGTCTGTGGCTGTAGAGTGGTCTTCAGTGGTCTGTGCCCTTTTTTCCACCTGCTGTATGCGGTGTTCCTGTGCTTTGATTTCAGCCTTCAGGCCGGTCACTTCAGATTTAATTACTTCATGTAAATTGTTAGTCAGGTGGGTGAGGTCATCTTTTGTGACCATCCTCATTGCCATGCGCTTTAATTCTGCTCCGATGTCTGCCAGTGTAGTGGTGTCGGCAGTGGAGCATGTGGATGCTGGCGAGGTCAGCGCCATTTTGGATGTCGGGGAGCTGGGGTCCGGGCCGCATGGCGCGTGGAGGAATTCATCCATCGGCCCCGTTTGCGACCCTGAGACGGAAGGTTTGGGGGTCTGGGGTAGGTCCCCTCTCTTTGTGCGACCCATTGGTGGCAGTGCGCGCCGGTGGGTAGTGGGATGCTCCGTTCTATGTGCTTTCGTGGAGCGGAGCACAGCGCTTAGGCGGCCATGTTCGTCGGAGCCCAGGCCACGCCCCACCGTATAAATTTTCTTTAAACCGGGTAATTATTTACAAAGTGACATACAATGAATGTTAGTATCCACAGATTTTGAAATCTCTGCAACACTTACCAGGATTAGCAGAGTGTTGTCACAGACAAAAAAGTAAGACCGCAAATGCGAATACCTTCCTTCCAGGAGGAAAACAGGGTCCCTATAAACAAAGTTATAGACAATAAATGTTAATATGTACTGTACTAATTTTCCAAATTTAAACAACTTTACACTTACCAGAGTAAGCCTGCTGCAAAATGTACTGAGAGAGATCTGAGAAGCAGAGAAATGAAACTGCAAGTAACTAAACTTAGAAAGGAAAAATACTCAACAAAAAGAATGCGAACAACACCCAAAACTATTGTAATAAAAAAAGTGCACAAAGTTTTGATGAATTTGCCTTTGCATTATACATGACTCAGATATCGTAAAATATGTCTTCACAACAATATTTAAAATGTAATATCTAAAATATATACAGAAATAAAATAGGTAGACATATGTCAATAGTATCTGTGCATAGAAGTGCTTAAGAATTAAATACACTCACAAAAGGTATACGTGTAGCAGGCTCCTCACTCAACAAAGGTATGAACTTCTCCTTGATTTTGGACCTCCTTCACAGTAAGCAGGAGTCATAGAAATAAGAAATGGACAAAATAGTGCAATTATAAAACAGACTTACACTATATCATCCCAAGATGGTGGAGAGGAACTTTGTAGCTAATTTAGATGAAAGGCACACAGGAACCAGAAGGGAAATATCTCATCCGAATACAGCAATAAACAAAACACAGCAAAACCAAAAATCAAATAACTAAACAAACATAAAATGTATTAGTTCATAGAAAACATGCCCTACATGTTTCGTATAACTCCGTGGGTTGCTGGAGAAGAATGATTTTGAAGCAGGGTGACTAGATTCACCATGTTTTCTGGGACACATTTCACATATATATATTTATGGGCAGCATATAAAAAGGATAGCCCTGTAATATTTAGAATGCAGAAGAATGTGTATTAGATTAAACAATTAGGCAATGAAGAATCCTGCAGTATATGCATTTAACATACTACAGGGCAACCGTTTTCATGCATTTTCATAAATATGACAAAATTATATGTGTCAAGGTAAACATGGTGGATCTGGTCACCCTGTTTAACCCCTTAAGACCGCAGGGCGTTCTATGCTGTCCTTAAGGGACATGCTCTAAACGCCGCACAGCGGCATAGAATGCCCTGGGCGGTCTTGCTGCCCACGTGGCCGGTGGTATTACCCCGCTGCAGATCGTGGTCGGGGACAAGCCCCCCTGTGCCTAGTGACTACGGTCTGCAGCCTCCGATCGCAGTGACAGGCTGTCACTGCGATCGGAATTTACCATTTTAAAATCAACTGACACATGGAGCCGTGGCATTTTACGACTGCAGATCGGTCAGTGACCGTGATCTGCAGAGTCTGATCGCAGTGACAGGCTGTCACTGCGATCAGAGTTACTATGTGTCAGACAGGATCCCCCTGCAGATCGCGGTGGGGGGCATGCCTGGCCACCCAGGCACCCCCCTTGTGGCCAGTTACTGCGATCTGCAGGAGGTGATCACAGTGACAGCCAGTCACTGTGATCACTGATCCTGTGTGTCAGCCAGTGATGGCTGACACTATCTCTGCCCCTCTCCTGTTAAAAATAAAATAAATTACAGTTACAAATAAAATATACTTAGATTATATATATATATATATATATATATACACACATACACACACACACACACACAAAAAAATGTCAATACGTAAAAAAAAAATTAAAAACACACACACACACACATACATATATATATATATATATATATATATATGTAGTAAGGCCGTTTGGCCTGTATTTGTGGGAGGGGCTTAAGTTAACTTACTCCCCTATATAAGCTACACCTCTTACCTAACTCCTTACCGATCAAGGTCAGCGTCTGAATGCACTTCCGGTTCATCCAGTCGCCATTTTGGAATACTTCCGTCTTCTCACAAGGTCTTCCACGCTGAAACTGTGTCCAGGAACCCAGCAGCAGGTTTCCGTCCGACCAGCTTCTAAACTTCTTATTCGTCGACGCAGATTACATCCTAGGCACTCGCATACCGTAAGTTTACCTACTCGTTCCGCCTGGCAACAGTCCCATGGCATCGGTAACGGGCTAGGTACACACTTTACGGGCACGTTTCGGTTAAACTAACAAATCACTTTCCCGGCTTTTTCTTTATCAATATGTATCGGGCTTACAGTACTCGTTCCGGTTATACAACTCGTAATTAGGATATAACACCGTACACACAAGAATTTATGTGTTCCATGGGTAAGCACATACAGCTACCCTCATTCATACATAACTCATGTTGCCCGACAGGCATTAGCAGTCAACCGTACAGCCAGTTATCACTTTCGCACTAATAGTTAAATACAACAAATAACTTAGGGTCACATAACTGTTATATATTTCCCATACCTCTGTGAGAAATGTATGTCACATGCTGCCGTCACTCATCACACACTCTTATCGGCTGAAACATTATCCTCGCCGAAAAAACTACATTCCCCATAGTTCCTCCATATGACGCCCAATCACATCCCCCTTTCATCTCATTCCATCGCACGCCGGTAGGCGCAGTTACGGGCGCCAACAACATTTCCAATGGGGATTAACTCCAGTCACGTGATTTCCAATTTTCCCATTACGTAATCCTCATTTTAATTATGTATCCATATCATGTTCATATTTGCCACTCAATTAAGTTACTTTGATTATATTCCAATTATTATGTCACGTTACGTTTTCCTCCACATGTGATCTGATCACTAATCAAAATCACTTCCACACATTTGTTGCATTACGTTACTAAATAAATTTCGGATGTCCAAACCTACACTGCCACCTACAGGTCGTGCCACATAATAGCATAAGGGTTTTCTATATACACTGATCCCTACAGGTCATATAAATAATTCAAGTATCACTTATATTATTTATTACATACTAATCCTGACACTAAGGCCATTCTCTGTTACATACGTCAGGAAAAACAATTTCTTAAAACGCACCACAACGGGCTACATGGCACGATTAGTCATTGTTAGTCATTGTGTATTAGGTCAACTGCACTATGAATGTTACATGGTTTGCCCAACTTTTCAGTTTTGATTATTGGGTTGCGAGCACTATGATTGTCTATGCGTATAAACTTAGATCATGATCAAATCACTTTTTATGAACATATGGCATACATACATCATATTACAGGGCTGTACAAACAATGACCCTACACATTACCAAATGATAAAATACGAACACATATTTAGGTATAAATAGCAGTTAAAATTACCACATAATATAGTTACAGTTGAACTCTCGGATATCCTACGAACATCAACCCCACTGATCTCTCCAGGGCGAACAGATAAACATTAATAAGAATGATTCATGCATTTTATTTTATTTTCATACGGTTTCCATCTATTTAGTTACAGGTATCTACTGCCACCTAAACGGATTGTCTAAAAAATTCTTTACTTATACTTTCAGGTACGTACACCTGCTCACAGTATATCCAAATATGATCCCCATATAATAGATAAGTACTGGCAGATAGGGTCATAGGGGCCAATAGCTGTTATATCTCCTTCTCTGCATTATGCTTCGGATTAGCGGTCCCGAGAGGCCAACAAACCCGCCTCATACTCGGAGGCATACACCCCTCGAGCCACTCGTGAGCTAGTCGCCTCGCAAGTTTCATAGAGAGGGCCTCACCAGTCACTCCCTTTCCTTTTTCTTTGTAATCTCACCGAGAGGCCATCATCCTGCCACTACGATCGGTGGCCACAAAAATTCCATTGCGCCAACGCATAGATAGGGCCTCTCAAGCCACTTGGCACTAGCAGGGCCTCACCAGTCACAAACTTAAGCATAATCGTTTCGCCTTACGGCATAGCTAGCAAGCCAGTACTAAAACACCGGGTTCAAATAATAATTTTACCTTTTATTTTAGTTAAACAGGTCTCATGCAAGTGGTGAGGAGCTATCGCTTCCTAGTACCCCAGCTAGGGGCGAGACACCTTCTCACAGGGGAGATATGGCCAGTCCAGCGTCAATCAGATCCTGGACAATACCGCGCATTACAACAGAGTTAAGGAGACGTCAAATTCCCTACCTGGCTACAGCAAGGAAAGCGGAGTTATTTAAACTCCTAAACACGACAACAAACAATACGGAAGCAGGAGAAGGCCCCAGCACCACCAATTCGGGGGACATCCAGGCTATGCTGGCCTCACTTATGAACTCCATGGGCAAGGTCAACGACAGACTGGCTAACCTCGAGGCGGTGACCACAGCCCTCACCAAGGCAGGCCTTCCCGACACCGTACAACCGGCACCAATGGAACCACGGGCTACGGGTAACGTAAACTCGTCAGATTCCCAGGACGTTTATCCTGCACACACTATACCAGCCCACATCAAGAAAGACATCCTGGAGGGCAAAGATGTCAACCTAGCGTCCTTACTAATTGCCTCCCAGGATGTGGTAGAAAACAAGACTTATATGTATGATGAGGTATCTGTGGTGGTCAGATCTAAAGACTCCAGGTTGAACCGTAAACTGACCATCCCGGAATTTGTCTTAGCCTTTGGTATATTCAGAGATGTTATGTGTGAAGTGTACCCTAATAGAAGAGAGGAATTTGATCGTTACATGCACAAGCTGGTGGACCTTGGTAACAAATATGGTGGGTCGGCGTTTTACGACTACCATAGGTCATTTTCCA